ACCTTCAAATAAAGATTGGTCTTTAAATACATTTTGTCTTTTGTATTGTTTGTCTAAAGTCAAGGATCTAGAACTGGTACTTATAGTTTTAATGATACAGTCTGGTTATAATGCTGTTTGGAGGAGGCCTCACAGGTAAGAGCACTAACTAGCTACCATCACATGCACCTTAGCTTAACTTAAATGTATTAAACGTATAATTAAGTGATAGCAAAATATAAATAACTAATGTCATGCAAACATATTAATATTTGCTTGATTCCAGTGTTGCATTTAGCACATTGCATACAAACGTTAAGGGATTTTAAGATTCTGAAGTATTATGCTAAAAACTCAATAACTTAGATTATTATTTATAGTTTTGCTGAATAGTTTCATGTCCGCTTACCTTAGAAACGTAAAATGTGACGGCAGTGTGCTGATGGGGAAGCATGTTAGCTTAGCTTCTTAGCTTGAGCTAGCTCTGTTACTTCCCAGCTGGAGGCAGAAGGTCCCGCCTCGGCTCCGCCTCTTTGCCCTTATTTGGAGCAGGCTGGAGCAGGCGGGAGTTAGACTCAGACGTCACTGTCGAGCCGTTAGTGGCCGACTCCGCCTACTAAGGGCTTCTCGGCAACTCTGCAGAATCCTATGGGTGACGTCACGGACCCTACGTCCATTTATATATACAGTCTATGGTTTAAACATATGGAAATTGCTTTGGGTGTGTATCGGTGCTTACGTAAAGGGTTAGGGTTAACTACGTTTAAAATAATGTGAACATATATCACTATCATAAGAAAACCTTTGGAACAAAAAAATGCCCCAAATAAATGTCAAAGTTGAAATAACATAATTGTAAAGAAAATATAATATGTACAGTTTATAAGAATTTAGAATATAAGAACTGCAGATTTGAAAAAATATGCATTCTGCAGAAATGTGCAAAATACACAGACAGTCCCTACACATTGAGAAATGTCTGTGTATGTGTGTGTCCAGTTTTAGATGTGTGTATGTGGAAAAGCATGAATATGTATGTATCAGTAGTGAAGCACAGGCCTCACTTTACGCTGGGAAACAATGGGTACAATAAGTCTATTTTAAATGAACAAATGTGTGTGCCTGAGTGTGTGTGTGTGCTCCTCCCTATGTGATTGTGTGTGTGCCAGGTTGTGTGTCGCTGGGTGGCCTGTGTAACTCTGCACTGTAAACGAGCTGGCAGAGGGAGGGATGGAGGGCGGGGGGGAGGAAACAGACGGAGGGAAGGAGTGATTGAACGATCTTCTCTGTCTTCCTGTGGAGTAACATCAGGAGAAGTTGTTGAATATTAATGATGTTAATGGAAAATCGAGCTGTAAAAAACAGGCCGCTGTTGTAGGAAGTTGTGTTTACAGTATGTTCGAAAGATATGGAACATAACTGCACACATGCTATGTGCACACTGCACTCTTTATACATAGAGATGTGTATTGTCTCTCCCCCTGCAGCACTCATGAATGCACAGACAGCCTCTCAGGCACACACACATTTATGGCCTCCATGTAGTTGAGATGGATGAGTGTGCGGTGACTGACAGTTGATTCATCGGTCCCGCAGCCACCATACATATTCTAATAGCGCCTTTAGGAAAGTAAATAAACTTGCACAGAGTGAGATCAGGACTTTGCTCTCAGACAGCCGTGGAAAGGGGCCATTATTCTTAGCGAGAATATCTTAGCTGTCAACTGAAAAAGCACCTGCCACAGAGAAAAATAAAAGATTAATACTAAGAGACCCCAAATTTCAATCTTCAATCTTTTGCAGTTGTTTGAAAAGCTTACTGCATTGAGGGGAGAAGTTGATTTGCAACATGCTGGGTACCGAGGCATGGTCCATCGTGCATGCATTCATTTGACATGGAACTACATGGATATGCACATTTTAGCAGCAGACTGTGAGTGATACGTTTGCTGTCAATCATCTTTCACATTTCAAGATTCATGGTTGTCCATTTGAAACAGTGAAACACTGCAAGTAGACAAGACAAAGAATAAGATAATTACACAGCAGGATAAATAACTGTTAACTGTCTTACCATGGTCATGAAATATTGGACATTTGTGCATGATTGCCTTTTTTTTTTAAACTTTAAAATCGGGGTGAAAATAAATGAGGGGAGGAAGATGATATGCAACGTAGGTTCCCAGCCAGATTTGACCTCGGGACATTGTGATTATATGGTCAGAAACTTCGATTTTTTCTAAGCAGGATACTTTATAGATCCATGGTTTCCTAGTTCAATTTGTATTTTGTAGCGTGCATGTCTAGGTGCTCAGTAAGACCTATCTTGATCCCTCTGAAATCTTATCATTTACAGCAAGGCTATGACAACAATTTAAACTTCATTGATGCAAAAGAGCTAGGGCTGTCCCGAATACCATTTTTCGGGCTCCGGATATTCGGTAGTAATCAGCAGCGAATATTCGGCACTCGAGCTGGTTTCTCCAAAACGACCTACCCCACCTTTAAGTATGCATAGGATATAAATGCTAAAGTGCACAGTTTGAAAGGATGTGGATTCAGAATGAGTTTGCTCTGTCTTGGATTCATTTGTTAGTCTGCCTCTCAGTGCTGTAGAGAAAGGATAGAGTTTTAAAAAGGAGCCTATAGCGCCTAGGTGTACCTTGTAGTTTGACTTGACTCAGTGGAAACCAAGCAGTGCGTTCTTCAGTCAATCTTAAGAATGAACAGATCATCTTTGTCAAACAACTTAATTGTCAACAAAACACATTTCAATTCTACCGCTACCTTGACATGCACCCTTTCATACACACGAATACACAGATAGAAGACAGTATGAATGTACGGATTTGGGGTTAAGTGGATATAACACTCGACAAATGATTGAACTCTGACACCATTTATAGTTTGTCTGAGTTGTTTCAGTACGCTCTACCAAGCTTTCTGTATTTGTACCATCGTGTCTATCATTTCAAGTAGGTCTCACTATTCATTTGGATGTTGCATACCTCATTTTGAAAAGAAGTCGCTTTCTGGAGTTTGGTTTTGAAAGCAGGAGGGAGTAATAAAACATTGCATGCTTTTAGCCTTGACAGAGGCCATTAGTTTCAAGTCGCTTAATGTGAAAGTCTGGTGGCAAAGTAGCTGTCAGCAACGTGTCAACAATGTGATGGATTAGTGCTACAGGTAGAGACGTCTCTGCAAAATGCAGCTTTAAATGGCACTTGTTTTCAGTGAGGAAGTTGAACTGTGTCTACTCTAATATTACATTTACATCACATTGTAACCATTTAGTGACCAGAGATGGGGTTGTTACAAAAAAAAAGTAATATATTACATATTACTTATTACTTTAAAAAAAAAATATATATATTACTTTACTTCGTTACTCTCTACATAAAGTAACGCATTACTTTACTCGTTACTTACTCGCAGGGCCGCCCCTCCCTACAGGCTTCATTTTGCGGAGGGAGCCTCATCTGAAGCGCAAATGCGGTGCACCTACAGTACAGTGTAAGCACGCCACAGTTTTCGCCGCTGCGAGGCTCCACTAGCCTTTCTTCGGACAAACTCAAAATAATGGGCATACCTCCACCCCTCGAAAGTTATCGCTGTTGACTCACTCAGCCATGTTTATGCACTGCATGTGGACGTGCAAGTCGCGCAAATGTTACGTAAATATAAACCTGCGGCCGAAATCCCTCTTGTCTGTCAAAGGGAGAATCAGTCATTCTTTATGTTAGTAGGCTAACTGTAGTGTGATTACTGAATTATAAAAGTAACGCGTTACATTACTCCGTTACCGACAAAAGTCATATTATTACGCACCCAACTCTGTTAGTGACTAATACACAGTATGTAGCTGTGAGGATAGAATACACTTGGATTTCTGAATCATACTGACTCCTTCACAGTAACAGTTACAACATATTCCAAGCATCTATGGAAGTACCACAACACATTTTTTTTTTTAACTCTCTAACTGGTGTAAAAGTGGATATTGATACAGCCATCATAAGCTGGACTGCGATTGCTATTGAGTGTGAGAAGTAAAAAAAAAAGTAAAAAAACCCAATCAGCTTGGAAATATTAGACTCCTACTCTCTTTTATTATATTTATGGGTAAATCAATTGAGGTCTGCAAAAATCCTGATACATAAACTCCACATAATGAAATGATGCATTTCAAATTGTGTTTGTTATTTCTTTTAAATTACATTCTATTTCCCAGGGGCGGCTACTCACTTTGTTTACTATCTGAGTATTGGATGCTTAGGCACAACTGATTGGACTTTGATTACGTTTTTAAGGAAGATGGGTCCAGTTATTTATTCTGATATAAAAGCACTAAGCTCGGACCGGGGAAGAGTTACAGTTAAGACACTGTGTTTGTTTTCTGATTGGTTGGTCTGCATGAATCAGCAGGGAACACTTTTTTCAATAGAATTCAATTATCAGATTTTTTTATTATAAAACAAAGAATAATCTGAATAGACACTTCACTTTTCACATCTCTGTTTATTTTTATTTTCTACAGGCAAGAGATCCAAATAAAGGATATGACAGTATCATGAGATGACAATATAAAAAGTCAATAATAATAATTAATAACAATGATAATATCTATTTTTTTAAAAGGGGAAAAGATAAGGATAAGGACCCCTTAAACAATTTCAAATCACTAGGTTAACTGTCACACCTAAGAACCAAAAACAAACATATGACATGCACAGCATATTTTTTATTCCATATAATGCCACTCTTTTTAGAGGTCATTTTCTACCATGTCATCTTGTGTTTTGCCAATTTGTGATTGTTTGTGTCAATGTTTTTTGGCAAACATTTGAATTCAGATTACTCCCGGTGAGCTTTTAAATGTAGTATTACCAAACAGAACATTTCATTTATTATCTGTGGACCACTTCCATCCAAACCCCCAGACAGTGTTAAAAAGTGAGAATTTATCAAATCAAACCGACTCAATCAACACTTAACTTACCACCTCTGTTCCTCTATCACAGCTCCTCCCACCCCCATCGCTCCACCTGAGCTCCTCGCTGTCGGGGCCACTTACCTTTGGATCAAACCCAACGCCAACAGCATCATCGGCGACGGGCCCATCATCCTGAAGGAGGTGGAGTACCGAACCACCTCAGGAAACTGGGCGGAGACCCACATGGTAGACTCCCCTACCTACAAACTGTGGCATCTGGACCCCGACGTGGAGTACGAGATCAAAGTCCTGCTGTCCAGACCTGGGGAGGGAGGAACGGGCCCCCCGGGGCCGCCGCTGGTCACAAGGACCAAATGTGCAGGTAGGTGACTCCTCTTCTGATATTTCCCCCTTCAAGCTTCACTTCTCTTCTTTTTTGTCATAATTATGTTGTTGAGGATAGCTGTATTAGGGGCCAGAATTATGGGCCATTGTTTACACTCATATAATGAACTGAATAGCCTCTTAACTCCTCAAATACAATGTTGTCAGTGGGTGATTGTAGTAAACGGAGACTAAGCTCAAAGTTTAGAATGGTTGAAGTATGGTTGGAGTGATTTGATTTAGAGAAAAAGTAGAGTTGTCTTGAGTGACAATGTGGAGTTTCTTTATTTTTGATAAATGTTCTCCTTGTGAAGTCTTGTGTATGCCGATGTCTACTCAGGGTTTCCCACACAGTGGCCATCAAGAGGACCGGGGGGTTTCCCGGTGGCCTGGCCTGTTAAGTGGCCTGCTGGCCTGAGGGTTTTTTGATTTTTTTGTAATGTATTGTGAATGCAACGCTGCGCAAATGTGGGTCTGCCTCACACAGGGTGACTGGCTGTCTACATGATGTGGCCTGCCGACATGGCCACTGTCATACAGATCATAAATCAAAGCCCTTGATTGGTCTCTGCGTGTCATTCAAGCTCGGGATAACCTCAGCTCAGGTGAGGTAAAGGACTCTCTGAGTGTTTAGATAGTTAACTTAGTCTAAGTTCTCAGTGGGTCTCAAACGGTTTGGTCACCATTTATGTAAACTCATATTTCCATTTGAGGGGGTAGTGATTAGTAAAATATGCATGAATACAACAAAAAAAAAGGTTAACTAGGTGAAAAAAGGTAAGATACACTTTAAAAACTTGTTGAGAGCTAAAACTAGTCTTTGCTGCTGCCTCAAAGATGAGAAGAGAGGAGAGGGGGGAGAGAGACAGGAGAGGCTGGTTCAGGAGCACAGACACACTCACAACTATAAATGAACCAAAAATAAACAAGTTTCAGTGTTTTTTTATATTGGATATGGTATGTTATTGGTTATGGCCATGTTCTTGTGATTTTATGATTATTGAAATGTATACAGTTCTGTTTCATATGGGTGTTCCCATAGATCTAGTCTCTTTATTTTCCCCTCAAAGTGCACCAGATTGATGCATTTAACTCCAACATTTAAAAAAAGATCTTACCGGGGAGCATGGACCCCCCTAGAGGATTTGAGGTCCACCCCCACTTAAAATCACATTGAAAGGTTCCTAAATACATTTACAATTTTTTTTAAATAGTAACCCATGTCCATATGTTTATTTGTGGGTAGTAGATTTAAACTATAGGGCTATCACTACGGGCAGCAACGCTGTAAATATTGACAGCCCTGGCTGTACCTGTTCGCTCTGCCATGAACATGAAGGGTCTGCTAACAAGCGACCAACTGAAAGGTTAATGTTAATGTTGTTGCACTTCACAAAGGCACGTCACGTCACCTCGCCACGCACCAGAAAATGACACCAGTAATGACAAACAGATGAGAATGCTGCGTGGGGTCTGGGTGCCGTGTTGGCGGGACGTTGCGCGGCTCGCTGCTGTGAGGAGCGGACAGTGTGAGCTGGGTTAATTTCCTGCTTGCTGCGTGGGGTTTGCTAGACAGCGAGACATCGCGAATGGACGCGGGAAGGGGGGGGGGGTGCTGAGGGGGCTGCAGCACCCCCATCTGCGAGGCTCCACTAGCACCCGCACCCGCACCCCCAAACGCGGCGCACCTACAGTGTAAGCGCGCCACAGTTTTGCCGCAGAGAGAGTGTGTGTGTGTGAGGAGCTCCACGGATTGGTCCATTTGGATCAATGGGTCCATTTGGGTATGGTCACATCACTGTACCCAGGAAGAAAAAGAGAAATCTCCAACGAGGCGTTCTGGGGCAGCATAGACAGGTATTTTCTGTGTTAGAGTTTTACTCGCTACAGGGTGTACTTTGAGGGTTTGTGACTCTGCAGACCGTTTACATGCAGAAAAAGCTTCATAACACACAAGGGGACGGGTAATAACCAGAAAAGCATGACAATTTTAAAACCAATTCTAAAATGTGTTAATTATGATGCGTGACTTTTATTTATAGGTAATCATTATCTCGCTAACCCTAACCGACAGAGAAGCTAAAAGGCAGATGAGCCGTAGAACACGAGAAAAAAAATGATCAAACTATTATTTATTCGGGAAAACAATAGATCAAATCAAATATGATGATCATTGGGATGTTAAGAAGCCGCTCTGCAGTTGAAGGATATGTAGAGAGCAGGGTTTAAAGAGGAGGCGGAAAAGATGGGGGAGGTTAGGAGGGGGCAATCATGGCCGATGGGGGTGTAAGGAGACGACGAGTGGTTCATCTGATAATCAGATCTCTGCTGAAGGTGTGTGAGTGGAAAGTGTGCGTGTGGAAGGTGACAGAGATAGTGGTAACTGTGTGTTTGTTTGTGTGTGTTTGGACTTGTTAACACAGCAGGAGGCCACCATCAACCCTCTGTAGCCTTATTACCACTTCACTCTGTGTCCCTTTATTCTTTTGGATTTTCTTGTTTCTTTTACGAATTCTCCTTTTATGTATATTTCTCCTTTTCTCCACTCCTTCTGCTTTGCTCCTACTGTAGCTCACTTCCACTTGGTCTTATTCCCCTCTTTACTATCATGTACGACGGTGTACGACCATTCATCTTTTGTTTTCTCATTCTATTTTTTCCTTTTATATTCCACCTTTGGAAACGAATTATCCTCTTTGTTACATTCAGCTTTTCTCTCCCCCTTCCACCAACAGTTCTCTCTTGTCTTTATTCCCGTCTTCTGTCTTTTATTTTACCTTTTTCTTTCTGTCACCTTTTATTCATTCAAAGAAACAAAAAAAAAGCTTTTGTCAGCAATGTCTTTGCAAAGAAAGTAGTGATGCAGGGATTATGACAAAGGGAGGAAGACATTTGATGTAATACATAATCAAATGAAGAGCAAGACTATGTTGACTAACAATAGATATTTGTGGAGAATGTGTGAAGAAGGAATACAAAAAGAAATCTGGGAAAAAAAGAAAAATATGCAGGAGGAAGATGAGAAATGGTTAGTGGGACAGAGATGTGTGTGTGTGTGTGTGTGTGTGTGTGTGTGTGTGTGTGTGTGTGTGTGTGTGTGTGTGTGTGTGTATGTGTGTGTGTGTGTGTGTGTGTATGTGTGTGTGTGTGTGTGTGTGTGTGTGTGTGTGTGTGCGTGTGCACAGTCGTGGCTCCATAAAGGTTTTATGTGTGTGGCGTAAAGCGTAGTAGCAAGGAACATGTGTTTCTGGGCTATTGGCACTGTGGTGAGCTGTCACAACCACTCACACCCAGTGCTGTTGGTGTGTGTGTGTGTGTGTGTGTGTGTGTGTGTGTGTGTGTGTGTGTGTGTGTGTGTGTGTGTGTGTGTGTGTGTGTGTGTGTGTGTGTGTGTGTGTGTGTGTGTGTGTGTGTGTGTGTGTGTGTGTGTGTGTGTGTGTGTGTGTGTGTGTGTGTGTGTGATGGGATTGGAGCAGGCAGGTATGACAGATGTTAAAATGCCTGCTGGCTACTATTTGCAGTGTTAGGGTGTTGTGTGTGTATGTGTGTGTGTGTGTGTGTTTGTTTGTCCTGACACCTTCACCTCTCTGTTCATGTTAGCCTCTACAGCTGAGCTCACGCCTAACAATCACTTTAGTTGTTACTTGTAGCATTTGCAATTCATTTTGAAGTCAGATTCAGTGTGATATCTCAGTGTTATTATTGTTAATAATTGTTCAGACTATTTCATTATTTATTTCAGGCCAATTTATCACTAGTACAATCATTTATTTGAATTAAAGGTGGGGTAGGTAATTTTGGAGAAACCAGCTCGAGATCGCTAAAATTTGAAAATACACAGCCGGAAAAAATCTGCCACTTCCTTACAGAGCCCCTCCTCCAACACACACGAACGCGCACATGACCAATGAGGGCACGAGATAAGTTTGTGCACAGATGGAAGGCTGACAGGCAGGTAGGCCATCCAGTTATTTTAGCCGGGCCGGCTAAAATGATTGGTCGTGCTTTTTACAGTACTACGGCTTCCACAGATGAAATTCTTTTATGTATTTTTTGTCAAAGCACTTCAGATATTCATTGCTATCGGGATGTTAAGAGCATTCCATGGAATATAACAAAAAGTGTATCTCGAGCCGGTTTCTCAAACTTACCTACCCCACCTTTAAAGGACTAACATGATTTTTCAATTATTATTTGTACATTTTGTACACTGTACAACATTTAAATACATGCTGACACACAATATTTTATATATATATATATATATATATATATATAAGTATTTTTATTTATTTATATATATTTTTTTCTGATAAAACGAGCAGTTGAAAAATGTGTTAAAATGTAGATATGCACCACCAATTTAGACCGGATGGTTGTCAGTTGTTTGGCCATAACTGGTGACACAACCAATCTCTTGTATTGCCAGTCAAATGATTACAATGAGCCAAATGATAGTTTAACGTTAGACAACTTAAAGTATTTCAGAAATGTTGTACCATATTAAGATTTGACAGAAGATTTATAGTGTCGGAATAACATTCTGGAACAGCGGTGCCCACACTTTTTCGGCTTGCTAGCTTCTTTTAAAAACACCAGGTGAAGATGTTCCACCTGTATTAAAAAATGCTAACTATATATTTATTTATATATGTACTGATGTGGCTCATTTGAAAGGATATGTAACCATTTATTCTCTCCAGCCAGAATCGGAACAACAGCAAACTAAGTAAACGTTTGGGTCACCAGGGCGCATCAGAGCAGCTTTCCAACAATTAGCTCAATCGCTGTTGTATAACTAAACAAGGTGAACATGTACGAGGGACGATAAACAGTTATATATAGTTCAGTATATGGAAGGTTCTGACTTAAATAATACCCCAGTAGTTCTGCTGTCACTTCTCAATTATGTGAAAATCACACAAAATGTGCTTCTTCTCTCACGTCCTGCACCAGCGCCCATCTCCATTGTTTTTCTGTTGTTGTAGCTGTCGTTAA